GGCGGCGCGCCGCTCGGCGCGAGCTTGCCTCCTCTTCTACTCCTCTTCTCGTCCTCCTCTTTTCCACTTCGTCCTCCTCCTCGCCCTCCTCGTCCTCCTCCTCCCCCTCCTCTTTGTCCCCCTCCTCTTTGCTCGCTCGCTCGCAAAGTCAGGACACCATCGGGATCGAAGCCCATGCTTTCAAGAAGAGAGAAAGGCAAAGAGAGCACCCCCCTATCATGCATATGCAGAGGAGAGGGGAGGGGGGAGATGCCGTCAGGCCACCGAGGTCCAAGCCCTGGCCTGCACCTCATCCTCCTCTTCCTCCTGGCCAGTGCCAACAGGAGTCCCTGCACAGGCTTTGGGACCAGAAGGTTGTCATCCCAACCGTCACGAGCACCTCCGCAGGGTTACGCTTACCCTCAAGGGTACTAGCACTACACTGCAATCCTCCTCCTGGCCGTTCTGGAGGACGAACAACTCACCACCTCCACCACAACCATCGTCGTCCTCCCGCCCCCCCCCGCCGCCGAACACGCCAGCGCGGTGGACCGACGCCGGGCGCTACACCGAGCCCGTGGCCGCGGACCTGGGCTTGCAGGACGCCGCCGCCGCCGCCCGTGGCCCTCCGACCCGGCGCCGTGCCCGCCGTCGTGGGGGACGGTCGCATTTCGGGGGGCTGCTGGAGGTGCCCCTTGACTCTCTGCTTCTCGCTCCTCTGCTTCTCGCTCTCCTGCCCGTTTCTGTCCCTCGCCCGGCCCGCCCGCTCGTCTTGGTCGGCCCGTCCCGTGGTCCGAGCAAGAGCCGCGGTGGCCCGCGCTACCACGGCGGCGATTGGACGAAGGCTTGCTGACGTGGCTGCTGTACGATATCGTCTTGGGTCGCGAACTGGTTGGAATGTGCAAGGACTACGGCCTCGAGAACGCGAGGCTAGCGTAATCGACCCAATACAGCTTTTTTATGTGTATACATATATAAAGAACCAGGCGGCGACGGGTGTTACAAATCGAGACCGATGATAAGTATGGGTAACCTTCCCAGGAGTATCATTGCATCCTTGCCTCTTCAATCCATCCTGAACCACTTTCGATGGCCAGCCCCTCTCGAAAAGCTTGGGCACGCGCGTCCAAGGGGCTTCCATCCTTATCGCGCATCCTTGCTACCAGTTTTGACTGCACCTGGGGGGGAGGGGCAGTGCGGGACTGGTAGCGTCACGTTTCGCGCCGGCGCCGTCTGGGAACGCCCAGGAATTACCAAAGCCAAGTCGGAGGTGATCACGAATCGTGTCGTCACCTGGGTGGGGGGGGAGGGGGGCGGCCGGGCCCAGCAGCGGCCGCTATGTCGAAAAATACAGGCATTGTTTTCTAAGGTGCCCCCAGCTTTTCGCTCTATTTTGGAACCCGCGGGGGCCCTCTGGGTCTCGTGGGAGATGCTCTGGAGGCCGTGTGGGCCTCCCTGGAGATCCTGTGGGCGCCCTGTGCCATGGGCACCTCCAGCAACACCCGAGAAATAAACAAGCACGGAAAGGATGGGTATAAGTACCGATCGCATCTTTTGTTCATTCTGAACAGCACTCGTTGTCGGTGTCGCTGCGGGCCTTCTCAGCAGGCCGCCTGCCCAGCAGCGGCCGCTGTCGGCTTTGGGCGGCACTTGCTGCTGTGCATCGTGCCCCTTGCGGGCGCCCAGATCCTCGCACGTGCCCAGACGCGCAGGTTCTGGGCCCTCGGGGCCGCGGCCCGGTTCTGGTCTCTCGAGACCGCGCCTACAGCAGAAACCCATGCCAAGAAGCACCCTGCTTGCCTCCAGGGTGCCATGGGTTCTTGGGCTTCGATGGCCTCGCGATGGCGAGCGCGACGCCCCCACGCCAACAGTCGGTGGACGTCCCGGGGTCTCAGGGTTGGGTTTGTGGAAGGTTTCTGGTGGACTGGCCTCCACGGTAGGTCTGGGGGCCCCCGGCACGGGTGCGGTGACCACACGCCGTGCGGTGAGTGGGAGGGACGCCGAGTAAAACAGGGCTAGGATCGGGATAAATCGCTCCAGAGCGTTCCGGAGCGCTCTCAGAGCGTTCCGGAACGCTCTGGAGCAGCCGCGGCGCCCAATACATCCTCCAAACTCGCCGATTTTCAGAGATTTCGAATTATCCCGATCCGATTTTGTCCCGATCTTCGTGTCGTTTTACAGCTCGGAGGGAGGCGGGCCCTCCCGCGAGGGCGGCGGGGGCTGCTCAGGTGCCCGCTCGGGCCCCTCTGAGAAGCTCTCACTGCCTGCGGGCGTGGCTGGAGGAAGTGCCCCCTGGCTCGAGGTGCCCCCAGCATCTCCAGGGAGGCCCCTGCGGCCTCCAGAGCTCAGGAGGGGGAAAAAAAAAAAACAGACACAATTAATCGTCGATCCCCAGGGAAGTATGAGAAAATATGGGAAGTGGGGGGGAAGACAAAATCCCAGAAAATATAGGAAAATATGGGGAATATTTGTATTTGTGTGTATTTATTTGTGTGTCCTGGGGCCCCTTCAAGAGCACCCCTCACGAGGCCCCGAAGGCCCCCAGGAGCTCCACAGTGGAGCGCACTGCTGGGAACACCGCGGGCAAGGGGCACCTCTTTGGCAAGCCCCGGCACTGGCTTCGGACATTGCTCAGACAGCTTCTCAGCAGGCCGGAGGACATTTGAGCTTACTCGCGCGCCGCCGAGTGAGTCGGTTTTGGTCTTCGGGGTGACCGCACGGTTTTTTTGAGACTCGGGTCGTTCTGCGAGGGCTTCTCGGGCAACGGGGGCCTCCAGGGTCTCAAAACTGTGCGGCGACGGACCCCGAGGCGAGGACTCTTGGGATTTCGAGGTCACCCCGTCTCGGCATTCCCAAGCATGCGCAGAAAAATAATAACAAGGCACGTAGACACTTAACTAATTTTGGAGGTCCGCGCGCATACCCCGACCCCGCGCCGTGCCGTTCAATCAAAGCGCCTAGTAAGAATCAGCAATTCTCCAAGGTGGCCCTTTTTTGTTTTATTTTTTTTTTTTTTTTTTTTTTGTTTTTTTTTCTTTTTTTGCTTTTTTTTTTTTTTTTATGTGTTTTTTTTTCTGTTTTTTTTTTGGTTCTTTTTTTTTTTTGTTTTTGTTTTTTTTTTTCTTTTTATTTTTGTTTTTTTTTTTTTTTTTGTTTTTTTTTTTTTTTTTTTTTTTTTTTTTTTTTTTTATTTTTTTGTTTTTTTTTTTATTATATTGCCTTTTTTTTTGCTATTTTTTTTATTTTTTTTTTTATTTTTTTTTTTTTCTTTTTTTTTTTTGGCACTTTTTTTTTTTTTTTATTTTTTTTTTTTAGTTTTTTTTTTTTTTTTTTTTTTTTTTATTTTTTTTTTTTTTTTTTCTTTTGTTTTTTTTTGATTCCTTGCCAATATGGCTCATCCGTGGCAACTTTCACCGGCCAACACAGTTCGAAGGGTGTCAAAATAACGCTCCAAGGCCCCTTGCACCCGTATCTTCCATCTTTACACGCCAGCCGTTGGAAGTAGGTATTCTGGTCTAGCTCTGTGCCCCCGATAATAGATCCTACTCCATTAACCCGAATGTTGATCATCCTGGGTTAAAACAGTATTGAACGGGGGAGAAGGGGCGGCGAGGAAAAACTTCATTGTCTCTGGGGAAGGTGCGAATCGAAGTTGCGATCTTCTGATGTTGAAGGCTACGGCTAGAAACTATTACGCAACCTTCGATCACCACTACGACTGTTATTACTTCCACTACCGCTATTACTACTACGAGTACTGCTACTAGTAGTAGTAGCACTACTACTACAACTACTACTACTACTACGACTACTACTACTACTACTACTACTACTACTACTACTACTACAACTACTACTACTACTACTACTACTACTACTACTACTACTACGACTACTACTACGACTCTACTAATAACTTTACTACTATACTACTATCTAACTAATGACTTACTACTACTTACTACTTACTTAATTTACTACTTAGCTTACGGACTACCTTTTAGTTTTTATGTTTGAATTGGTTTTAGTTGTTTGGCAGTACTAGCTGTGTGATGTCAGATTTACTACTACTACTCAACCACCGCCACTACTGCTACTGTTTCTTCTACAACTACTAGTGCTTCTACTAGTCGTATTTTTATTACTACGACTGCGACTACGACGACAACTGCTGCTACTCGACGGCAACTGCTATCTTTTTGTATTACTACTACCACTACTACTACGAATACGATTCTTACCACTACGTCTTCGTCTACTACTACTACTACTACTACTACTACTACTACTACCACTACTACTACTACTACAACTAGTGATCCTACCAAAACGGGCAAGGGGACGAGGAACTGCGGAGTGAGAAGGGTAGTTATCAAGGGCGTAGGATTCTCCAGACTTTAACGTTCTTCGAGCGCGTTCCCACTCCCAGAACCGATCTGCTCTTGCGGACGCTCTGGTTCTGCTCCGGGCAGGCCCAAAGCAAACATGCTTTATCCGCCTTCCTGCTCCATGCTTCCACCTACTTCGGACGGGCGGGAATTCTGTGTGTTTTGACTGTGGCCCGGGCCCTTTGTGGGCCCTGGAAACGGCAGAGCCGTTTTTTCACCGTTTCCGAAAAAATGTCTCTTGAAAATGGAAGCCGCAAAAGACGGCGACCGGAAACGGCCACAAAAACGGCTCCAGAACTGGAGCTGGAGCCGGAACCGGCCAAAAAGCGGCGACGAAGCGGCCAAAGAACGGCAACACGGAACCGGCAACAAAAATTGCAAGAGGGAACCTCGGGGGTGGACAGAACCCCCAACAGTGACACGTCGATTAGTGAATTGTCCGTTTTCGGTTCTCGAGAGGGCGCCGTGGCCGTTATTTTCCAGGCTTGCGCCTGCCAGGTTTGGGCCTCAGGTCGGTTTCACTAAACCACGTTTTACTAAAGGGGGTTCTGTCCATGCCCGAGAACCGGAAACAGAAACGGCCCTGCCGTCTCCTGGGCCCACTGAGCCCGGCGGCCCCCCCCCCGGCGCGGGATGCGCGCCGCCGGGGCACGGTGCGCGTGGCTGTGGGCGGCCGTGCTGCGGGCGGCCGCAGGGCCGCAGGCCGTGGACCAGGCCCCCCTCTGGCAGGGGGGGGTCCAGGAGGGAGGTATCCTCCAGGAGGAGGAGGAGGAGGAGGAGGAGGGGGAGGAGGAGGGGGAGGAGGAGGAGGAGGAGGAGAATCCTCCAGGAGGAGGGGTCCAAGAGAAATCCTCCCAGGAGGAATCCAGGGGGAGGAGGAGGAGGAAGACCAGTGTAAAGACAAGACTCATCAAGGATGTCGGAGTAAACCCTCCCCCGAAGCTCCCTCTCCATAGGCCCCTACAAGGGTATCTTTCCACGTAGTGAACTGCCTCGTTAAGATACACCTGTTTGAAGACCCTGAAGCATGCCAATACACAGCTCTCCGGATTCCAACGCCACGGATCATCCTGACGGTTGCTTCTGGACGATCCAGAACCGTGCCAGAATGTTATTCATTTGGAATTTCAGCACCTAAACGGTGCGCCCTCACTATCCGGAATTCTTCTAAGACGTTATTTTGTTGCGTTAGCCATGGGACTCCAAGAACATCTTGCACATGTTGAAAACGAATGCGCGCGGCAAGAACAACATGTTGAAAACCAGCCGCTATGAATCCGTGAAGTTCCTGGACATGTTTAAGACGAGTGCGCGCGGCGCTACAGCGGGAACCACATGTTGAAAACCAACCGCTCTCAATGCGAGGTATTTCGTGATTCTTACATCGAATGCGCGTGAGGCGAAGGCGAGAGCAACATTTTGAAAACCGCCCGCCTTCAATCCGTGGATTCTTGTACGTATTGGAAACGGATGCGCGCGGCAAGAAGGCCAAAGGAAAGCCACCCGCCCACCATGTGTCGGGCGAAGAGAACTGTACACATGCACCGATCCTGGCAAGGCCCATCCTTGACCCAGGATCGGTGCATATGCCTTCCTGGCCAAGGTAGGAGGGCGTATGCACCGATCTTGGGCTCAGGATGGGCCTGGCCAGAATCGGTGCATGTGCATAGTTCTGTTTCCTCTAATGTGTGAAGTTGTTGCCAAGGTTTGAGCTTCAGGGCCATAGCGTTGGAGGAACAATCTCATGCGAAACGCCCGGCCCGCCGTCTCGACCCGCCTCGGGGTGCGACGGGGAGGAGCGATGTGTGAAATGGAGGAGGGGGAGGAATCCAGGAGGAGGGAACCTCCAGGAGGAGTCCTCCAGAAGGAGTCGTCCAGGAAGAACAAGGGGGGAGATGTGCAGAGTGGGGGCACGAGGAGGAGAAGTGGGGCGGAGGAAGGGGAGGATGGTCCTGGGGGGGGGGCGCCCCTGTGAGGAGTCCTCCAGGAGCAGTAGGAGGAGGAGGAGGAGGAGGAGGAGGATAGGAGGTGGAGGGAGGAGGAGGAGGAGGAGGAGGAGGGAGGAGGGAGGAGGTGAGGAGGAGGGGAGGGTGGAGGAGGAGGAGGAGGAGGGAAGAGGAGGAGGAGGAGGAGGAATGAGGAGGACGGGATAAGGGAATGGCCCCTGGTGTGGGGAGGGGCGTTCCTACGGGAGGATCGGGGGCGGCCATGACTTTTCTCTTATCGTGTTTATTTTTGATAGTTATCACGTAGTCTTTGTGAGCGCGCTGACATTTGGGGGGGAGGCGGATATCGTGACGTGGGCCATGATATCTCCCCAGATGTCATGGCGTTTTGTCTTATTTCAACACGTCCACGCCCCCTCCCCAGTGGCCGCGCACATGCCGCCAGCCATCCCCCCCCTCTTGGATCCCCCCCTGTTGGAAACCCCCGACAGGAGGAGGATTGAGGAGGAGGGGGAGGAGTGAGAGGCGGAGGATGAGGAGGAGGAGGATCCTATCATTTAGCGTAATACAACCCGTGACCCTAATCACACAATCCATTCGTGACTTGACTCAGGTCCACGGTCTTGAGGAATATCCTTACGCTTATGGTTGGTTTCGTCTGGCACATTTGCAAAACATATCCCCCCTTCCCTCATGTTTTTGGCCCTCCTAACTGCGGTCCCATCCCAAAGGGTTAGGTTCAGTTTTGGAGGAAGACGGAGGAGAGATGTCATTTGCTTGTTGTGTGTTGCGTTGGTGCTGCCTTGTGCTTGGGCGCCCGAGATCTCCGAGGCCGCCCGGGCATACTTGGGGGATGGACGAGGCCAGGCTGGCGTCGCGAGCTACTCCCGATGGCGCGCCCACGACACAAGATTAGTGCTCCCGGAGTTCCCACGTCAGGATCTCGCAGTGAGGCCTCAGTGGGCAGGGCGGTGGGGCCTTTGTGTGCGCGCTCGGGGCGTCAGCGGGCTGTGTCGGGGGCCTCAGTGGGCAGTGTGACTGGGCCTGTGTGGGCGCGCTCAGAGCCTCTGTGGGCTGCGTGTGGGACCCGAGTGGGCAGCGTGGTGGTGCCTCTGTGGGTGCGCTCGGGGCCTGTGCAAGCTGCTGCAAGCGCCTCAACAATGGCGCTCTGGCGGGTCCTCCCTGGAGGAGCGGGAAAGGCACGCAGCCGTGTAGATGGTATGGTGTTCCGATGCCCTCCTCGCTGTGGCGGGCCCTCCTTGGTGGAA